GCGCGAGAAACCCCAGACGGCCCGATTTGGCATTGAAGTCCCCGGCGACGATTATCGGGGCAGGTGATATTCTAGGATCTGCCTCTCCATGGCGTGCAGTCTCCCGCAGAATCTTCTCCGTTGAGACTCGGCGGAAGATACACGCCAATCACGATGGTGACCCCCCCCTCTACTGTTATCATACCCTCCTCCGACTTTAGAAGTTCTGTCGGGGGAGAGTTGGTCGCGTTCTTCTGGACGATCGCGACGACGCGCCGTCCGCACTGCCCATCCAGTTATCGGGCACACGGTACGGCTCCGCCACGATCCCCAGGCCGCAGTCTCTCTCCGCCATTGTTTTGCGAAGAGATCCTGAGCCGGCCCCGAGTGGTTAGTATTGGCCTGCAGTATCTTACAGGCCATCTTTTCTCGCTGCTTCTTCCGCGGGCCCCGTTGTGTCCATTGTGGTGGGGTCTCCCTCTTTTAGGTCCTCCTGTAACTTTTTTTTTTCCTCCCTCCTTCTGTTGGGAGCTTCTCCTTTCTCCTCTTTTCTCACCCCTCGATCTGGAGCGGAGAGTCCTTTGTTTGTTTGGGCTCGTCCGCAAAGCTTGTGAGGGGGCCGGTGAGGACGATCTGGGCCGCATCTTTGGGGGGTCCCGCTACCCCTTGTTGAGCGGGATGCCCCTTATCCCTTTGTGCACCGGCGTGCACGCTTTGCCGCCCGCTCTATGGTTCGCGGGCAGCCCTTTATCCGCGCACACCGGGCATCTCATGTCGGCTACGCAGTTCCTCGCTGTGTGTCCCTCCGTGCTGCAGCGGTAGCATCTACCGCTGCGGTCGTGTTGTTGGGGCATCGCGCGCGCACGTGGCCCCTCTCCAGGCACTTGTAGCACTGGAGGGGTCTGGCCTCCAGCAGTTCCGCGCGCGCAATCGCCCATCCTATCTTCACCGTCCCTGTTTTCATGATCAGGTTTGCTGCCCTTAGTGGACAGCGAACCCACACGATTCCCATACCACCGGGGGTTTTTTTTATTTCCCCGGTGTGTACGTCGACTTCCTCGCAATTGCCATTTCTGGCAATTGCTTCTCGGACTTCGGGGGTCCGTATAGACTCGTCCAACCCCCGAAATCTAAGCTCCGCCATTTTGGTCGGGCGCTGTATTTTCACGCCCTCCTTGTTTGCTAGCACCCTCTTCAGCTCGAGGGCAAGTTTATCCGCCTTTTCTTTCCCGTCGGGCCCGGAAATCTCGAGAATATAGGAGCCTGATGCTCCTTTTCTCACATGGCCCCCTCTATTCCCAGGCCCTTGAGGTCCGCTTTCATCCGCGCCTCCCGGAGAGTTTCCTCATAAGTGCCGGGAGGGCACGTGATGGTCACGGCCGCTCTCCTGGGCTCCTTCCTGCTCCTTTTGGCGGATGTCTGCGCCGGTGTTTTTTTTGAGAAGGGGGGGAGTTCGTACCTGTTTTGGTTGTTCTGCCTCCCCTCTCTCTTATATTTGCCGCGGCGCTCTCCCTCCTGTCCGCTGTTGTTCTTGCCCTCCTCTCCTTCCTGGATACCACTTTACTCTAGGAGGCGCTCGTCTCCTTGTTTGGTGGTTTTGAAGAGGCTTGTAGTCTTGGGGGGGCCTGTGGTGTGGGTGCCCCTCCCTTCTTTTCCGTGTTTATAGGTGCAGCTGTTTTCCCCTTCTGCTTTTGTGGAAGTAGAGCTTCCCTCTTGCTCCTTTGCGCCTCCTTGTTGGCTGGTCCAGTGATCCTTTTGGTTGCCGCGTTAGAAGGCGGATTTAGTGTAGTAGCGGGTACCACTTTGACCGTCTTTCTCACGACCTCCATAGCTTTAATGGTTGGCTTAGTGGCGGCGGGCTTCTGTTGCTGTCGCGCCTGCACGCCGCCCCCTCCTCCATGCTTGAGGGTTTCCCTGAGTGAGGGAGCTGGACATCCCAATCTTTTGTCCAGCTCCCTCACGACCACTCCCTCGATCATGGCCACCATGGCCATGAATTTTTCCCTTTCCTTGTTTTCTTCCTCTTCTTTCTCATTCCGTGGGACTATGTATTCCTTATTCTCTTTTTTAATATACACAGTCCCATTCGGTTTGTGTGGGGCTCTCACTGGGTTGTGGGTATATGGATGCATCTCCCCCTCGCCGACATCCATCCTCTCGTCACTCGAGCCCTTTGTTCCCCTCCTTCCTAGTCCTGAGGTGCTCGGGATCTCCCCATCATTTGGTGGAGGCGAGATCCCCCGCATCTCAATGTCCTCTATCTGGGAGGCCTCTCCACCCCTGGGTGGAAGTGAGGTTTCCCTGTCAGTCCTGGTTCCCTGGGTTGACGGGACCCCCCCACCCCTAGGTGGAAGTAGGGCTCCGCCAATCCTTTTCCTTGTTTTTATCCTTTTCCCCACGCTGTCTTCGCTGGGCGGTTCGCATTCCTCTTCCGATGTGTCCAGGTATGGTTTTGGGCGGTGTTTAGCTCTGTTTGCTCGCTCCAGTGCCCTCTCGAGCTGCTGCTTTTCCATTATCAGTTGTTGAACTTGAAGGCGTAGTTCCTTCAGTTGACTTTCGACCGGGGTTTCTGTCGGGTTCTGCGCCTTTAGAGCCAGTGTCGTTGCAACCGCGCACATATCTGCGGCTGCATTTTTGGCATGTTTTACCAAAGGACCTTTTATATTCCTGGATACCGCGGCTACTTTGTAAATCGCCGCCGCCTTCTCTGAGGCAATAGCCTCTAGGTCGTGGGTTGTTTTCATGTAAAATTCCTCCCCCTTCTCCTTTATTCTCTCCAGGAAGTCGTAATACGACTTTCCCGGGTGTGGCTCCTGCAAGGGATCCAGGATCTCCTTTTCTAGGCGCGCTTCTTCCTCTTCATTCCGCAATGCCTCTTTCGCAGCCTTTGCAGTTTTCACCTTTTCATATTCGCCAGTGGTTACTGGCCGACCTCTTTTCCTAGGTGCCGGTATCGGTGGTAATGCCGGGCTGGGTGTAGGCATTTGTATTAGTGCCTGTTCCTCCTTGGCTTTGTTCTTACCTTTCTGCTCCTGTGCTAACATGTATGGCTTGGTGCGGAGGGCAGAAAATTTTTCCTCATTAAAAATAATGATATTTTCATCATCATTTTTGTTTGTTGCAGGCATTTTGGTATTGCCTTCCTCTTCACACGATAGAATATCTGTGTCTATCTCGGTGTCAGTTCCGGTAACGGCTTCTGATATCTTCCTCCATTGGGCGAGCGCTCCAGTTCTCGCCTTTTCCCGCTCCATTATGGCCTTCTGGCGTCTTTGTGCAGGACCCACCTTGCCCTTCTTTTGGCTCGATCTTTTCGAGCATGTTGAAGAGAGGCTGTTATTTGAGTCATATTTGACACAGTCTATCAGCGGTATCATGGCTGATTTGAGTACCTCCCCCTGCCAAAGATACATCTCTTCTTCGTGGGTGTGGGTGTATTTCCCACGCACCTCCTGCACGTCCTTCTGCGCATTGGCTCCGTCCTTGTTATCATTAATGTTGTTTGAGTCACTATTCATCTTAGTTAATCCCACTCTCCCGTCACGGCTCCTGTCCCCCAGGGTATACCCCCACCGGCCAAAAGGTGCCCCGAAACATGACCGGCCACACCTCAAGACCGGGCCCCGAGTTCCCCCGGGGAGAGGACGTACATCATTGGCCGGGGGGATACCGCACCCCGGCCTGACCCCGAGCCTCTTACACACCCGTGTGGGATTTGACGCCCACACGGGCTTTCAGGGGTCCCGCGCCTCCGACAACGCGGGCACCGTGACGGGCGGCGCCACCCGGGGGGCTCCACGGACGCTTTGAACAGGGTCGCCGCTCCCCGGCCCTGCCCTACACGCCGTGGCGACCAGCATATGTGGGCGCCCCTCGTCGAAGGCTTTCGACTAGGGGCAAGCGCCTCTCCGGTCGGTCGGTTCGGAAGGGGAAACGGTCCCGACCGACCGGGGATAACCTCTCTCGCCGCCGGGCCCTGCCTCGGAAACGTCCGAGCGGCCCCGGCGGCAGGCGGCCGCGGCACCCTCCGGGCTATGCCCCTTGGGTAACCCCTCCGGGCTATGCCCCTTGGGTAACCGCGACTCGCCTTCACCGCCACCCTTGGCCCGGATTCGGAAACGTCCGAGCGGCCCGAGGATGGCTAGTCGCAGGGACGCTGGAACGAGAGCACGCTCTCCAGCCAGCACTCTGCGGCTTCCCTCTCGCCGTCGAGCCCCGCCTCGGAATATGTCCGAGCGGCCTCGACGGCCGACCCGCGTGGCCCCCTCCGGGCAGTGCCCCTTGGGTAAACCCTCCGGGCTACGCCCCTTGGGTGACCACGCGTGGCCGTCTCCGCCGACCCAGCCCTGCCTCGGAAACGTCCGAGCGGCCTGGGTGCGGCCTACCCCAGGGACGCTGGGACGGGGACCCAGGCTACCCAGCCTGGAGACCCCCAACCAGCACTCTGAGGCACCTCCCTGTCCTCAGGAACCGTTCCACGAACAGGCCCCAAGGATCGATCAACATCGCCTCCTCCGGGCAAAGCCCTTGGGACAACCCTCCGAGCAAAGCCCCTCGGGTGACCATGTTGACCCCTCCGCCGGCGCGACCCCCTCCGGGCAAAGCCCCTCGGGAAACCCTCCGGGCAGAGCCCCTCGGGTAATCGCGTGCGGCACCCTCCACTGCGGCCCCCGCCGCCGACGCCCACCCCCCCAACCCCCCAGATGAAACCCCGAAACGAGCCCCCCCCAGGACGGAGGGGGGAGAAACCCCGGGCGGCAAAAGCCGCCTACCCGACAGGCGTGTCGGGCCACAGAGCATGGTGGGAAGGGAAGCGCCGAAGAGCCGTGCAGTCCCTTCTCCTAACGGTGCCATGCCACCGGGCGTTTGAATTCCGGGTCGCCATCCCTTACCACATACAAGCCGAAGCTCTAACGGGGAAGTGGGCCCCGTCTCCCCAGGGAATGGAAATCTTCCACCCCCCGAAGGAGAGCCCCCAGAGACGGAGGGCGTGCCCCCCGGACCGGGAGCAGTGTACCTCGAGAGGTACCGACCACTCTTGGCACCCCTCGCAAGGCTATTCCCTTGCGAAGGGTGAGCCCCCCCACCACGGCAAGGTGGTGGTCGACGGGGGGGACTTTATTCTGACCTTGGTAACACTGTCCAAGGTCAAACTGATCAGATCAATAAATAGATTTTTCACAACTTTTGTCTAAAACTTTTTTCTGTAAAACGTATACTTTTCGAAATTTTTCAGTGTTCCGATCTTTTTGGGATACTCTGTATATATATAAATATATATGTGTGTGTGTGTGTGTGCGCGCGCGCGTGTGTGTATATATGTTTATATATATATAGATTATATTCTTATTCAATATTTATGAAGTTCAATTGTTATAAATTTTTTTTACATTATATATATATTTTTTAAAGTAACTGTGCGAATTCGCGGCAACGCGAAGTGCGAACCGGTGTGCGAGTGAATATTGATATTACCTAAGGAGCACAGCACAACGACACCAAAAAAAGAAGGGAGACAAGGTTAATGAGAACGGCACTGTATTTTTCACTATCTACAAGAAATGAGAGTCGCGCACAGGTGGCGTGATAAAAAAAATACACGGATTGCAAAAAGTGCAATCGACAAGGAATAAAGTATTCGCGAGAAGTGCGATACCACGGAACTTTGTGAAAAACGTAACGAAGAAACTCTCGGTCTGTGCGTGCGAGCTGCGACAAAGCGAGTGAGAATAGGACGCGCGGGAAAACAGCTTTATCCTGCCGACCTTCGAGAAGATTCCAATGTAAAATTACCGAACTTGTAATTTTGCAATGTAATGATGTGGAATCCTCTAGAGTGTCGGAGGACAAAACTGTTTTCCCTTTTCTGTTTTTGTTTGGCCAGCCCGCGTAAACGGGCTGGCGACAGCCGAAGGCGTTTGGCGCGCGAAACGCGCGCAGCGCGATTTGTGCCTTGCGATTAGCGCAAATTGACGCGCCGAATTTGATATTGAAAAATATCACTTTTCCACACTGCATGCGTACATGCACTCACACACATACACACTCTCTCTCTCTCTCTCTCTCTCTCTCTCTCTCTCTCTCTCTCTCTCTCTCTCTCTCTCTCTCTCTCTCTCTCTCATCCGCAACATTCCGCTCGCCTCGTCGCGACGAGCGACAAACGATTTTGTCTATTCGAGGTGCTAAAACGGAGGAAGCATTGAGATGCAGCGGAGAATACGATGCGCGAGACGAGAGTGAGTATACGACTCAATGTTTTACAGTTTTTTGACGACGAACAAGAATAATGATGCGTTTGATTATTATTTACAGTATATACAGTCGCGACGGAACTCGCGGCACGGGGTTTACGCGGGTGGCTCTGGGTCCTTGGCGGCAGCCGTCGGCAGTGGTACGATTTTAACCACTGGCCGGGTTAACTCGCCAACGGACGTGCGGACATCCACCACGCGTATCTCCCCGTTCATGCCGGGTTGCACGCGCGTGATCCGAGCAAGCGGCCACCGGCACGGCGGGGTATTCTCGCCCTTGACCAGACACAACTGGCCCTCGAGAATAGCTCCACGAGTGGCCCACCATTTGGGCCGCGGGCTGAGGTGCTGTAGATACTCGCGGGTCCACCGCTGCCACAGGTGATCCCGCATCTGCTGCAGGAGACGCCACCGATTCAGCCGGTTGGCTGATGCGTCCAGGAGTGACGGCTCCGGGATGGCGAGGAGAGGGCTTCCCACCAGGAAATGCTTAGGCGTCAGGGCACGGAGGTCGTCAGGGTCATCCGTCAAGGCTTCGAGCGGCCTAGAATTGAGGCAGGCTTTAACCTCTGTGAGGAACGTCGACAGTTCCTCAAAGGTCAGTCTGGCCTCGCCGATGGTGCGTCTCAGGTGGTGTTTAACCGCCTTGACCGCCGCTTCCCGCAGGCCGCCAAAATGTGGAGCTGCCGGTGGATTGAAGCTCCACCGCACTCCTCGGTCTGCCAGGTGCCCAACAATGGTCTGGATCTCACGGCCAGCAGCCTTGAAAAGGGCCTTAAGCTGTCGGTCCGCGCCCACAAAATTAGTGCCGCAGTCGCTATACACGACTGTGCACAACCCTCGTCGGGACACGAACCGACGAAAGGCCGCTAAGAAGGCCTCGGCGGTGTAGTCGCTGACAGCTTCAAGATGTACGGCGCGGGAGCTAAAACAAACGAATACCACCAAAAAACCCTTGTAGGCCTTGTGTCCTCGGCCTCTCGTCGTTCGAAGCCACACCGGGCCGGCGAGGTCCACGCCGGTGTGCTGAAATGGGCGGCTCGGAGTGACGCGCGCTTTGGCAGGTCGCCCATCTTCGGCCGTGGAGTGGCCGCCCGCCATCGGATGCATGGGGGGCAACTGTGAATGTGGCTGCGAACCACTTGACGTCCTCGCGAAATCCAAAAACGCTGCCTGATATGAGCCAAGGTGGCCTGGACTCCGCCGTGAAGTGTTCGCCTGTGGGCGGCGTCAACCACCAGGTGCGTCAGGTGAGACTGCGGCGGTAGGATGGCAGGATGACGTTGATCGGCATCCAAAATTGCGTGTTTCAGACGCCCGCTGACTCGCAGGGTGCCCTCGTCGTCCAATATGGGAACCAGCTTGCGGAGTGAGCTCCGGGCAGGCAGCGTCCTTTCAGCACGGACGTTTTGCAGCTCGGCATGGTAGCTCGACTCCTGAGCTACCTGGATCCATTTAGATAGAGCGGCCTCCAGCTCCTCAGGTTCCAAGGAGGCCGACACAGCTTCGCTGTCTGCTGAGTGACGCCCTCGTGCCCTCCAGCGCCAGATCCAGGCGGACACGCGAAGCAGGCGACGAAGGCAGGAAAAGCGGCAGAGCTCCTCAGCTTCTCGTTCCTCGGCGGCTGCATGGCATCGGAACGGTCTCTGCTCCGGTAAGTCGGCCGTCTCCAAGAGCTTGACGTCCTTCGGCCAAAAGTCCGCGTGATGGCGGAGATATTCCGGCCCTCGCCACCATAGATGATGTTCCAGGAGCTCCTTCGGTGACACCCCTCGGGAGGCACAGTCTGCAGGGTTCTCCTTGTGTAGCGACTTATAAATAAATTCACCAGATCTTTGAAAAAGTAATGTTTATTCATTGAAAGTATAAAGCGAAAGAACAAAAAGAATTAATATGTAACAAATAAATGAATGAATGTGTTGTTATGGAAATATTGATTTTTCTTAAAAACATTATGTATATTAATGAATTGAAGTTATTACAAATGTATAAAGATGTAAAAAGTGTAAAAGTGCAGTGAAAAGTGTAAGGTGTAATAAAAGTGTAGAGTGTAAATGAAAGGTGTGGATGATGAATGCTACAGTACTCCCCCCCAAGTGACGATATTCGTTGCGAAATGGACTTTCTTCTTCTTTGGTGGGTAGGTGCGTAAAGCTTTTCCAACAGTAGAAGAAGAAGAAGGATTTGAAGTAGCAGAAACAGGAGCTGAAGTAGCAGGAACAGGAGCTGAAGTAGCAGGAACAGGAGTTGAAATAGCAGGAACAGGAGTTGAAATAGCAGGAACAGGAGCTGAAGATCTGGTAGAAAGTTCAGTAGAATCTGAAGTTCTAGGAATGAAGGCTGGCTTGAGACGTTCTGTCGAAATATTGACAACTCTTCCTGAAACATTAACTGCAAATAAATGATCAGAGATACGTTTCTCAATAGGAAAAGGGCCAGAATAAGGAGGTTGTAGTGACTTCCTAACAGTATCTTCTCGAATCCAAACATGAGTACAATCAAAAAGATTCTTGTGAACAAAAGGTGATCTTTTGCAATGATGACTTGTAGGAGATGATCTGATATTCCTCATATGAATCCTGTGTTTTTCAAGAAAGATTTCAGGATCTGCAGGAAAATCTTCTTCAATGAAAAATTCTCCAGGAATACGAAGAGTGGATCCATAAAGAAGTTCTGCAGGTGAAGCTTTTAAATCTTCTTTGAAACACGAACGTAATCCCAAAAGAACTGAAGGTAAAGATTCTACCCAGTTGGTTGTTTCGTGGCACATAATCGCTGCTTTCAAAGTCCTATGCCATCTTTCCAGAATTCCATTTGAAGCAGGATGATAAGCAGAAGTTCTAATCCTTTGGCATCCAATTAGGTTTGTTAAAGCTTTGAATAAAGCTGCTTCAAACTGAGGACCTTGATCTGTTGTAATGCTGATAGGAGAACCAAAACGTGCTACCCAATGTGAATAAAATGTTGTAGAAATAGTTTCAGCAGAAATCTCAGAAATAGGAACAGCTTCAGGCCATCTGGAAAAACGATCAATCATAGTAAGACAATAACGGTAATTTTGACAAATAGGAAGTGGTCCAACAATGTCTAAATGCACATGCTGAAAGCGTTGATCAGGAATTGCAATCTTAATTGGAGAATTCTTGGTGTGTCTTGAAATCTTCGCACGTTGACATGGAAGACAAGTTCGAGTCCATTCCTTCACATCTTTCTTCAAAGAAGGCCAAATGAATTTCAGTAGTAATTGTTTAGATGTCAATCTGCCGCTGGGGTGAGCGAGTCCATGAACAACATCAAAAATTCTCTTGCGTAAGAGTTTAGGAACATATGGACGAATTAATTCCGAAGAGCAATCACAATAAATAGGTATGGTTGATCCTGAAAGAATAAGTTTCTTCAACAGAAGTGAAGAATTTGAAGAAAGTAAAACTTGAAGTTCTTCATCTTCTTTCTGATAATTAGCAAGTTCTTCTAAAGAAACTATAATAGGCATTGAAATAGATTCAATTCTTGACAGAGCATCAGCAACTGAATTCATTTTTCCAGAAATATAGGTAATATTTGTAGAGAATTGAGCAATAAAGTCCAATTGTCTGATCTGTCTTGGTGACGCTTTATCCAATTTCTGACGGAAAGCAAAAATCAAAGGTTTATGATCAGTTCTGATAATCAGTTGTCTTCCTTCAACAAAATGCCTGAAATGTTTAATAGCCAAATAAATGCTAAGAAGTTCTCTATCATAAGTGCTATAATTTCTTTGAGCTTTGTCTAGTTTCTTTGAGAAAAATGCTATTGGTTTGATATCGTCGTCAATAGACTGTTCAAGTGATGCACCAACAGCAAAGTCAGAAGCATCACAAGTTAAAATAAGAGGAGCATGAGGAGCAGGATGAGAAAGGGTAGTAACTTGTAAAAGTTCTTCTTTACATGACTCGAAAGCTAATTCCGCTTCTTTAGTCCAAGAAATAATTCTTCTATCCCTCTTGCGACTGTCCTTTAAATATTCTGTTAACAGAGCTTGATGATTTGCAGCATCCTTGAGACAGCGACGATAATAATTGATAATTCCTAAGAATCTGCGTAATTCATGAAGTGTCTTAGGTTTAGGATAATCAATAATTGATTTCACTTTTTCGGATGTAGGTTTAACTCCTTGGTTAGAAACTAAGTAACCAAGAAAAGAAATCTCGCTTTGACCGAAAAGACATTTAGCGACATTGATTGTCATTCCAGCTTGTTGAAGACGATCAAAAATAATGCGTAAGTGAGCAATATGTTCTTTCTCATCTTTAGAAGCAATAAGAATGTCATCAAGATAACAAAAGGCAAAACTCAAATCATTAAGTAAAGAGTTCATGAGCCGTTGAAAAGTTTGGGCTGCGTTTCGTAAACCGAAAGGCATTACGACAAATTCAAAAAGCCCAAATGGAGTAGTGACAGCTGTTTTGTGAATATCTTCTTTAGCGACGGGTACTTGATAGTACGCTTTAACTAAGTCGATTTTAGAAAAGATATTCTTACCAAAAAGTGAAGAAGAAAAATCTTGAATATGAGGTAAGGGATAACGATCCGGGATAGTCACTGAATTGAGTGCACGATAATCACCACACAGTCTCCAAGAATTTTGTTCCTTTTTAGGTACCATATGTAGAGGGGCTGCCCAGGAGCTGCTTGAAGGTCTGCAAATTCCTTGCTCCATCATAGACTTGAATTCTTCCTTGGCACATTTAAGTTTCTCAGGAGTAAGTCTTCTGGGAGTCGAAAATTTAGGAGAACCTTCCGTAACGATATGATGTTCAACACCATGTGTTTTTACCGAGGAAATTGGAGAAAAACGGGTGAGTCCTGGAAATTCGGTTAAAAATTTGTGGTACACAGAATCAGGAGATGTGGTAAAAATTGACAAATGTGCAACTTCTTGAATTTTTCCAGTATTCATAAGACCGGTAACATTATCAATCAATTTCTTGTTTTTAATGTCAATTAGGAGATTAAAATGACAAAGGAAATCGGCGCCTAAAATAGGACGTTGAATATCCGCGACACAAAATTTCCATTTGAATTCTCTCCTTAAACCGAGGTTCAAAATTAAAGTTTTAGAACCGTAAGTATTAATTTGAGTACCATTTGCGGCAAAAAGTTTTAAATTAGTATGCCACGGCTTCAATAAAACCTTTTTAGGTAACAACGATATATCAGCGCCCGTATCGACAAGAAAATTCAAATTTGAATGTCTGTCGAAAATAATGAGGCGATTGTTAGAAACACCGTCGTAAGCAGCCTCAGTCTTAAGCGGCGTTTTTAGTTTTCCTGTGAAGCCAAGAATGTTTTGGACATAGAACAAGGTAAAGTACATCGTTTAGCCTTATCACCAAACTTCTTATGGTAAAAACAAATTGATGTATCTTTAATATCTTTATTTGATTTGTCTTTCTTACGCGATAACGATCTAAATCTTCTATTCTCTCTAGACCGGCTTTTGGAACGATCTCGACGACGAGAAACTTCAAGAGCTTCGATTCTTCGTAGCAAATCCGCGAAATCCGAAGATTTATTACTTGTATTATTGGAAATTTCCGCGACTTGCAAACCGCCGTCCCGATCAGCAATTTTATCAGCTAATTCCGCAAGTTTAACAAGAGGAACATCCTCTACTACGGCTAAAGTCGTTTGAATTCTATGTGGTAAGCATTGAAGCCAAATCATTTGCAAAACACTATCCGCTAAAGATCCTCCAGACAAATGACGAATTTCTCGAAGTAATTCCGAAGGCTTTTTATCATTAAGTTCAATTCCAGCTAATATTTGTCTCAAACGTTTTTCCTCTGAATCCGTAAAGCGATTTATTAATATTTTCTTTAAATAATTATATTTATCTGTTTTAGGTGGATTTTCAATGACTTCAGATATGTTTACTAAGGCTTGTTCATCAAGATGACGAATGACAGAACTATATTTAATATCATCTGATCGAATTCGATAAACCGTAAACTCACTTTCAATAGAAGCAAACCAGAGTTTAGGTTGTTTATGCCAGAAAGTCGGTAGTTTTAATAAACGAAACTCATTTGAGTGAATTTGTAACATAGGATCACTCACCTGATGTCCAGTTTGAGAAGGTAAAATATTAATATTTTCTGATCCAACCTGATTTGATCCGCTCGCCAAATCCATATCAATCTGTGTATCCGAACAGGGTCTAACTGGTGATCTATCGATTGGCATTTTCCTCTTGTTCCAGGAATCCGATAAAATGATTTGAGAATTTCCGTGAAGGACTAATCCGCCTCTGATGTTTCAAAGATCCGGAGAATGAATCTCTTAAAATCAGAATATCCAGCAATTCTTCCAAGCGATGATAATATTTCGCAGACTTCAAATACGACGATCACTTGGCACTTATTCCGCATCAGCCTTTAAAATGCGTCGGCTTTAATATCACGTCGGCTTTAATATCACGTCGGCTTTAATATCACGTCGGCTTTAATATCACGTCGGGGTCACCAAAAATGTAGCGACTTATAAATAAATTCACCAGATCTTTGAAAAAGTAATGTTTATTCATTGAAAGTATAAAGCGAAAGAACAAAAAGAATTAATATGTAACAAATAAATGAATGAATGTGTTGTTATGGAAATATTGATTTTTCTTAAAAACATTATGTATATTAATGAATTGAAGTTATTACAAATGTATAAAGATGTAAAAAGTGTAAAAGTGCAGTGAAAAGTGTAAGGTGTAATAAAAGTGTAGAGTGTAAATGAAAGGTGTGGATGATGAATGCTACACTTGCCAGGTACGTGCCGCCATCTTGCATCCTGGTTGTCGCGGTGAATTTCAGCGACGCGGTTGGCTACGTACGTATTCCACTTTGCAGGGTGTCCGCGTATCCAGCCAAGTGTCACCGTAGAATCCGTCCAGAGGGTGACCGCCGACCTCTCCAGACCCAAGGAGAGCCGCACATGTTCTGCTAGCTTTGACAGCAGAGCCGCTCCGCAGAGTTCTAGTCTCGGCAGCGATACACGCTTCAACGGGGCCACTCTGCTCTTGGCGACCACCAGGTTGATGCGGGGCAGTCCGCCATCCTCCACCCTGCTGTAGACCACAGCAGCGTAAGCCCGTTCGGAGGCATCCGAGAAGCCGTGGAGCTCCACGGGGCTGCGTGGAGTGTTGCTGTGCAGCCAACGTGGCAGTCTGATCTTTCCAGCACCGGCAATTCCTCCTCGAGGGCTGTCCATGCGACGGTGTCCTCGCGTGATAGCGGTGCGTCCCACTCGAACTGCTGCAGTCACGCCGACTGGATCAGCAACTTTGCACGCACGAGGATTGGTGCTAGCCAGCCCAGCGGGTCGAACAGGCGAGCGGTCTGCGCCAGCACGGTCCGCTTGGTAGGTGGGGCCGATGGAGTCAGCCGGACAGACAACGAGAAGGTGTCTTCGTGCGGATTCCAGCAAAGACCCAGCACCGAATGCTCGTCTGCAGATAACCTCGCGCCGGTCGTCGTGCCTAGTTGATGCTCGACAGGGATGAACTCCAGGAGGCGGTTATCGTTAGAGGCCCACTTTCTCAGCGGAAAGCCGCCCGCCATGCAGAGCGAGGTCACTTGTCCCAGGAGGCAACAAGCATAGTCCAGGTCAGCAGCTCCGGTGAGTATGTCGTCCACATACACGTCATGCTGCAGGACGTCGGCACCGAGCGGGAAACGGTTGGCTTCGTCTGACGCAAGCTGCCGCAGCACTCGTATGGCGAGGTATGGTGCGCTCGCCAAGCCATACGTGACCGTATTTAGCCGGTACTCGCTGACCCCGTTGTTCTCTGCCCACAGGATCTGTTGTAGGTCTCGATCGTCCGGATGAAGCTGAATTTGCCGGTACATCATTTGAACGTCGGCCATGAAGACGTACCGGTGCCGCCGCCATCGAGTCAAGACATCAGCGAGAGACGGCAGCAAGTTAGGTCCAGAGTGCAGCACACCGTTGAGAGACGCCCCGGCGCACGTGCGAGCTGATCCGTTGAAGACGACGCGAATCTTGGAACCGGCAGCCGAAGTCCGCAGCACCCCATGATGCGGCAAGAAATTGATCCGATCACCTGGTGAAGCCACAGTGGAGGCAACGAGCGTCATATGCCCGAGGGTGATGTACTCGCGCATGAAGTCGCGGTACAGCACCCCGAAGTTGTTGTCGCGGTCGAAGCGACGCCTCATGACGTCGAGGAGACGTGATGCGGCGCGACGGGTGGAGCTTAGGTCCGGCAACCTCGATCGCAGCGGGAGCCGCACCTGATAGCGGCCGTCTGATAGTCGTTGATGGGTGCGCAAGAAGTGGTCCTCGCACTCCTGCTCGTCAGCGGTCAGCGGAAGGACGGCACGGGGAGGCTCCTCCGTTTCCCAAAAACGACGCACCAGCTCGGCAAGGTCCTCTATTGTGGTACATTGCAACGACGACACGGGATTCGTGATGTGGCAGGTCCCAATGGCGCCCAACAGCACCCATCCGAAGCGCGTCAGCAGCGCTCCTGGCTCCTGCGGCCCTCCTCTACGAAGACCTTCCGGCATGGCGAGATCCAGGTACACGTCCGCACCGAGCAGTAGTTCCACGGGATCCTGGCGGTGGAATTCAGGATCAGCGAGGTCGAGGTCCTCAAGGTGCGGCCATGAGCGTGCTTCTCCCTCAGGAATGCCGCCGTACACGGTTAGGCGCGGCAGCACGAGAGGCGAAGCGGCGAGCGCGAAATGCCCGTCGCGCGAAAAGATGGTGATCGCTGTTTGCCCTCGAGAGACGCCTGACTGGATGCCACCTACTCCGAAGATGGCCACTGAGGAGGGAGTCCGCGGCAGGCGAAGGCGTTGTGCCAGAGATTCCGCGATCAGTGATGTCTTCGAACCCGGGTCAATCAGGGCGCGGACGTCGTAGCGAGTGCCCGCGCGATCAGCCACCAGCACGCGCGCGGTTGCCAGAAGCGCTGATCGGCATTTCACCGGCGGTCGCCTGGCCACGTGGGTCGTCACCGCGGAAGATGGTCCGGCAGCAGGCAGAGCCACAACGGTGAAGGTGTCGTGAAGAGACGAATGGTGCTTGCCAGAGCACTTCATGCACACCTTGGAGGACGTGCAATCAGCAAGGAGATGCCGACCCAGGCAGTTCCAGCACCGTTAGTGAGCATTGATTGCCTCCTTTTTTTCAGCCACTGTTTTTCTCTGTACAGCTCACAGTACGCGATGAAGTGATCCTTCTTACAGAGCGGACAGCTGCGGCTCGGGTCTGATTCCTTGCTCCCCACGTGGCTTGTGCGAGCGGCGCGGTTGGACTTCTCCAAGGGCTTGCCAGATGGTCCGGGCCTGGTGGACTGGAGGACCTCCAAGGTCATCAGCTGCTCTTGCAGGAACTCCCGGAGCGTGTCGTACGACGGCGGCTCGGCAGACTTGCCGAGCGAACTCTCCCACTCGCGTCCAGTTTCGGCGTCCAGCAGTTCGACGACCAGGTGCACAAAAAGGTCGGTGCAGTCGCTTATCGGACGCCCGATGCCCTTCAGAGCGCCGACTGTGGTGAGTACGCCGTGGAAGATTCGACGGATGCCGTCGGGCAAGAAAGCCTTCATCCTCGGCAGCGATGTGAAGGTCGTCAGGTAGGAACGCACGAGGAGGCGCTTGTTCTCGAAATATGTCGTCAGCATGTCCCATGCCTGTTCCAGGTTGTCTTCCGTAGAGGGCAAGTTCCGAATGAGCTGCTCCGCGTCGCCCTTGACACTTGTCCTGAGATAGTGCAGCTGCTCGATCTTAGTCAAGGATGGATCCCCGAGGATAATGGAGCAGAACAGGTCCCGGAAGCTTGGCCAATCCTCGAACTTGCCACTGAATTGAGGCAGATTGATGCGTGGCAGGGTCTTGCAAGACGGCGCGCTTCCTCGAGCCTTCTCGGAGGTGTCAGCTTCCGACGGCTTGGAAAGCCTTTCCTCCATCTCGGCGAGTTCGGAGCGTTGCGTGTAATACGCCGTTTCGACCTTGCTTGGAAGGTCGTCGGAGGTGTACTCATCTTCCTTTATCTCCTTCCAGTATTTGTCGCGGAGCTCCTCGTGCAGCTCCTGAAATCTGGTCCACTTGTCGTCCAGGAAGCGGATCGCAGCTTGGATGGTGTCCACGTTCAGCTTGGCCGCCCCAATTTTCGTAAATTGTCGACACTACGTAATATACGCACGTGAAGTTCATGTTGAGCGTCGATCAATTTATCCATGCCCATTTTGTTTGTTACAGGTCACAGGACACCCCGGTCGCGCACACACTTAAACTGCAAAGCACAGAAGACGCCGGACGCGACGAAGACGCGGAGAGATTGTTACGTCCAATAATTCATCTGGCGATAAATTACTTTTTGCACAAGACGGTCTTCTCTCGCGTCTACCTCGGTGGACGTTTAAGAAGCTGCTCTCTATTTGTTTTATGGGCAACCTGCTAGGCCGGCTATACCCAGGGAAGCCGAGAGCTTGAGATTTGATTGAGAGTATCGGACAGAGAAGGAACCTGACGGGTCGGGTCGATAAATAAAGATATTTTACAAGTATAATGTCATTTATTCATTTATAAAACCTTTCTATTGATATAAAATTTATTGGTCCTGACGTGGTTCGTGGGGAGCTTGAAATTGAGTTACAATATGACTGAGCTCCAGTTCCGCGATTGTTAGGCTGGTTGAGGTAAGTTATGAAAGAAGTGAAGTTATCTTGCGCTTCCTCAGGGATGACGTTATTGACGTCGTGAGTGAGACTGGCAGTGTCCTCGTTGAGAATGTGAAAGGTTTGTTCGTTGTTAAATTGTAAAATGGGATCGTACTCTGGCGATGTAATTGGTTGGTTTTGATCCGGGATATAATATTCAGGATCGGGTAAGAATTGATGATTAGGGTTCGTTATTAACGTGTTTGATTTTAACGGTGAAGGCTCCGGAATTGCGGATGAGAATAATCAATGTAAGGGGGGATATTGTTAATTGGCGAGTATACGTCTGGAGAAGGGATCGTACGATTATTCGCGTTGGATAAATTTGGATGTTAAGATTCAAGGGTCTTCTTGTTCTACGTTCGCGTAGTCTATGGAGACGTTGCTCGTCACGATCAATTTGATTCTTCCTTCGGAAGGGAGAGACCATCTAATGGTTAAATAAATTTATATGAATAATATGTTTTATAGAACTGAGATAGTTAAATAATCAAAGGTAATTGAGTGTGACTCACGTTTAAGTCGTGATTTACGTGTTAAAGAGTTAGAGACGAGATGAAAGGTTAATCTGTACGAGAATGCCCTTCACCTGTTAATTAATTAAGCGTTGTGTCAATTATAACTGTAATTAAACGATACTGAAAGAGAATTGATAATAATGTGGAATAGGAAAGGAATCTTAGTACGTGTATTAATATCTATATCAAGAATATTAATACTTGCACTTTCAAGCGTCAAAGATTTAGGTCTTAAATATTGAAGTAATGATTCTCAGTAATTATCAAGACCTCTGTCATTCGGTTTGTGTAAATTATTCGCAACTATTGGAAAATGCAAGGTAATAAAAGCGTAAAAGCGATAGAGAGATAGGTGTTCATCCGGCTAGGCCGGGTTCTCTGGTCCTTGTCTTAATAGGCTAATGCGACGTTCACTTTACTAAACGTGTACCTCAGAGATGACTTGCGAATGTACCTTCTGACAGGATATAGTTTCTAATGTGTACAGAGAATTAGCGGCATTCATTCGCTAATATGTGGTAGGATACAGGGTTACATACATATATAAGTAAGCAGTAATACAATAAAATACATAAGTATATTTATTATAATAAATCAAATAAGTATGCGAAATTGATTTAAATAGTATTGAATAGTATTGGATAGAATATTGAATAAATCGACGATTATAACGCAGACGTGTGCAGATGCAAATCGTAGATTGAAATAATATCGGAAGCGCAGAGTAATATATGGCTTATGTCTATGTTCAAAATTCAGAGTTTGAAATGTAATGTAAGATTGAGTTAATATTGGATAATTAAATATAATGATTAAATATAATGAGTGCCCGTCGCGCTTTACTATTTAGGGATATGTGAACTGGCTTAAATACTCACAAGGTTAGACAATGTCTAATGTGCCTTGCTATGGTACACTTCGCTACTGTGTTCTTCCCTCTGAGTCTGAAGATCTGAGGAGCCTCGGTACCTCGGTCCGAATGGTGGCTATGCCTCACCAAAATGGCG